CATAGGAGGGGTTTTCCTCCCTGTGTCATTAAGATATTAGATGTTCAACTCAGTTGTTGGCACATGTGGGTATTCAGTAAATATTTGTGAATTGAATGTGAAGCCTCATACCCAAGATTACAGAAAGCAAAAAGTCAGACAAAAGGATGACAGAATTAGGAATACGTGCAGAAGAACCAAGGACCACCAGTGGCTTTGGTATGAGGGTGTTTATATTCTTATTCGAGGAAAAAAAATTTTCACAGAGCTTCTATTATTCAATATCGTCTGTAAAATAATCCAGTAGAGAGGGCTTTCCTTTCACAGAAAACCGTGGCAGTTAGGAAGCAGCTCAGCCACTACTTCTCTTTACGAGGATCCTTAGCGAATCAAATCGTTCCAAAGGTGAATAAAGATTCCTTGTTTCCAGAAAATGGAAGGAAATCTCCCAGTGCTGGAGGGACTAGGGGGAGCAGAGATAATCTATTCTCATCTTTCATATCTGAGTATGAAAAAGAATTGGTGTTATTTATTTATTTATTTATTTTGAGACAGAGTTTCACTTTGTTACCCAGGCTGGAGTGCAATGGGGAAATCTCAGCTCACTGCAACCTCCGCCTCCCAGGTTCAGGCGATTCTCCTGCCTCAGCCTCTTGAATAGCTGGGATTACAGGCATGAGGCACCATGCCTGCTAATTTTGTATTTTTAGTAGAGATGGGGTTTCACCGTATTGGTCAGGCTGGCCTTGAAACTCCTGACTTCAGATGATCGGCCCAACTCGGCCTCCCAAAGTGCTAGGATTACAGGTGTGAGCCATCATGCCCAGCCAGAATTGGTGTTTTAAATAAACAGAACTTCACCAGATGTGGGTTTTTTAATTTGAGACATAACACTTTCTAGCTGCTTCTAGCCATAGGAAAATCATAAAAACAAGGCTACCCAGAACTAAACAGAGTTTTCTTGCTTCTTGGATATGCAGACTTAATATTATAAAGATGCCAGTTTCCTACCAGATCATTAGAAAAATTGATGTAATTCTATGAAAAATATTAATTTTTTTAGACAAGGTGATTTTAAGATTCATTTGAAAGAATAAGTAATAATGCTAGAAAAATTGAAAAACAAATGAGCCACCACCAGATATTAAAGCCACAATAATTAAAACTGTGTGGTACTTTTGCCTAACAGCCAGGTCAATAGATCAGCATAGAAAACTCAGAAATATGCACAAATACATATGAGAATCCAGTATGTGATAAAGTGGCATTTCAAATCAGCGAGGAAAAGATGGATTCTTCATAAACAATGTTTGAACAGTTATAGTAATTCAAATGAAGTATGTCATTGACTTATTAAATTTGAATATTCACTTTCAAATAAATGCAGTCTTTAACTTGAAGTGGAAAACACCTTGTATGCATTAGATTTGAAAATCTACCATTCAACTTCATGAACAGTTATTGCAAGAATAAAATGCTGCAATAATTTACTATTGTGAAAATTAACTGTATGTACAAAAATTATTGTAAACCTGAAAACAGTCAATACAAACATTGAGATATCTTTAGGAAAATATTCGATTCTTTTTCACACAAATGCTATGTATTAAAATGTAAATAATGCAAAACAGACAAAAAAACTAGACATAATTATCATCTTCATGTGATTAGGGTACTTTTAGTATTATAGTCTTTAAAAACCGTATTTAATTTTCTTTAGGCTATGATTCTTAAAAAAAAAAAAAAAAAAGTCCTATAAGGAATTCTTCACATTTTGTAAAGGTAAATTACAAACGTCAGCTTTGGCCAGGTGCAGAGCCTCAGGCCTATAATCTCAACACTTTGGGAGGTCGAGGTGGGAGGATCATTTGAAGCCAGCATTTCAAGACCAGCCTGGGCAACAAAGTGAGAGCCTGTCTCTACAAAGAAAAGGCCAAGCACAGTGGCTCATGCCTATAACCCCAGCCATTTGGAAGGCCAAGGTGGGTGGATCACGAGGTCAGGAGATCGAGACTATCCTGGCTAACATGGTGAAACCCGGTCTTTACTAAAAATACAAAAAATTAGCCAGGTGCGTTAGTGGGCACCTGTAGTCCCAGCTACTTGGGAGGCTGAGGCAGAAGATCACTTGAACCCAGGAGGCAGAGGTTGCAGTGAGCCAAGATCATGCCACTGTACTCCAGCCTGGGCAACAGAACAAATAATCATAATCATAATCATAATAATAGGCTCAGGGCCGTGCTCCTGTAGTTCCAGCTACTCGGGAGGATGAGGCAGGAGAGTCACTTGAGCCCAGGAATTTGAGTCTAGCCTGAACAACATAGAAAGAGCTCGTCTCTCAAAAAAAAAAAAAAAAAAAAAACCTGAAAAAAAATTGTAGCATACTTTATATAAGACATAAACAAGATGTTTTTTTAAAGGCTGCGTGAGATAAACTAATTGATGAATATTTGCAGATAACAATACCAATATTGTAGGCTTCCAACAAGTAATTTGTTTACATAATCTGGTGAGCCTCGTGTGGAGAGCTCTTAGCTCCAAGCCGCAGCAGCTTGTCTGGGAAATATATTTGCAAATGCAGGGTCTAGCAGGCCTACAGCTTTAGCCCTCCTCACCACTGGGAGATTTTATTCTGTTTCTGACCCTCGAAGATGCATCTTGTTTTTGAGCCTGGCTCTGTCTTCTAAAATTTTCCTCGAAATATTTTACCCATTATTGTTACGTGTTTGGCGTTATAGGGGCATGCCAAACTCCAGGTGAGAGCTTCAAATGGCATCTCAGGCAATAAGATAATAAGAGATGTTACTGAATTAATGGTTTATCTTGACTGTTGATTTGTATACTTAAGAATTAGTGATCCTAGAAAGTGTCAGATACAGGTCAAAAAGACAAAGTGTCTTTTTGGTTTATTTTTTCTCCCAAGACAGAGCCTTGCTCTGTCACCCAGGCTGGAGTGCAGTGGCATGATGTCTGCTCACTGCAACCTCCACCTCCCAGGTTGAAGCAATTCTCCTGCCTCAGCCTCCCGAGTAGCTGGGATTACAGGCACCAACCACCATGCCCAGCTAATTTTTGTATTTTTAGTAGAGGCGGTGTTTCACCATGTTGGCCAGGCTGCTCTTGAACTTCTGATCTCGTAATCCACCTGCCTTGGCCTCCCAAAGTGCTGGGATTACAAGTGTGAGCCACCACGCCTGGCCTTTTTTCTTTTTTTTTTTTGAGACGGGGTCTCAGTCACCCAGGCTGAAGTGCAGTGGTGCAATCATGGCTCACTGCAGCCTCTACCTCCCCAGGGTCAGGTGATCCTCCCCCCTCAGCCTCCTGAGTAGCTGGGACTTACAAGCATGTGCCACCACATCCAGCCAATTTTTGCATTTTTTATAGAGACAGAGTTTTACTATGTTGGCCAGGCTGGTGTTGAACTCCTAGGCTCAAAAGAGCCATAAACCTCAGCCTCCCAAAGTGCTGGGATGACTGGCGTGAGCCACCACACCTGGCTAGTGTTTCATTTTTATTGTGTGTATGGGGGCCTTCTGTGAGCTCTAAAGTCATATACCATATGGGCAGATTCCACAGTAACCAGTGCCCTGAACATATACATAATAGGATCTGCCAACTCATTTCCTTTTCTTAAAGTAGGTAATACCTTGGCCCAATATTTTCTCAGTTTAGCTTGATGAAGCTGCTTCTGCACCAAACATTCTATGACTCGAATTGCAACTTCAGACTGGAAATCATTTTGATTGGATCCTGTTTAAAATTACAATTCCTACAGCAACTAAATAATTCATAGCCACTCACTCCCTTATTAATCAGTATTGAGGCCTGTCTTAGTGTACAGTAGAACACTAGTATGTAATATACTCTAGTGATGAGTTTATGCATTAAGAAAATCTCATTGCTGCTAATCTACTGTTGATGTTTGTGGAATGAGTATTAGGAAATTCTGCGTACTTTGCCTTCAGGTTCATCCTGTCCCTTGACTTTAGCTCCTTTCACTGAAAGCTCATATGTTAAGATATGCTGACTCCCTAAGTTCCTATTTTTCGAAACTGCAAAAACAAGTCTTTCAGATTTTCGAAATTTGATTCAGATTTGTTAGAAAACTATTTTATAAAATGTGTTAAGACCTTTGGTTTTAGTTCGGTATGAAGAGGGGGGCGGGATGCTGGGAGAAGGTGGGTGAGGGGCTGAGATGAGTATTCAGGTGCTTCTGCTCTGTAATTCTGGTTTGGCAACGTTTTGAGGCAGAAATTCTGCACACACTCCCACCCCCCCCACTCCCAACACACAAGATGAGGGATGTCCACACTTAAAAAACACATTCACAGGCTGGGCATGGTGGCTCCAGCCTGTAAACCTGAGCTCTGGGGTTTAAGACCAGCCTGGGCAACATGGTGAAACCCTGTCTCTACTAAAAATACAAAAATTTAGTCCGGCATGGTGGCGTGCGCCTATAGTCCCAGCTACTTGGGAGGCTGAGACAGGGAAATTGCTTGAGCCTGGGAGGAGGAGGTTGCAGTGAGGAGAGATCGCACCATTGCACTCCAGCCTAGTGACAGAGTGAGACCTTGTCTCAGCACCTCTCTCTCTCTCTCTCTCTCCACCCCCTCTCCCTCTCTCCCCCCCACCCCCTCTCTCCCTCTCTCCCTCTCTCCCTCTCTCCCTCTCCCCCTCTCCCCCTCTCCCCCTCTCCCACTAGCATACCATGGGGTAGCAGCAATTCCCAGGGATTTGCTTACAATCCCAACGTTTCTCCCATACTCAGGAAAGCCTCCTTAAATAGAAATAGCACTGGAAGAATGCTACCTGAGAGCTATAGCAGATTCTAGGCAGAGTCTGCCCTATACTACTTCACTGATGGCTGCAAATGCCACCTGGCAACCCTCACAGGCTTTTCTATCTCCTCAGCCTACTGCCAAATGAGGGCAGTTTCTTTTCCCACCATTTATCACACATGGCCATTTCTATAAACTTGCTATTTTGGGATGTTTAATCAAGAATCAGTCAGCTGAAAAAAATTAAGGAGATTTATTCTTTATTCTGAGTAATGACCAGACAACTAATCTGAATAAGGCACATTCATCAGAATCCATAAGAAACAAATGCAAAAGCATTCCCCGTTACACAGAAAGGGAGTGCAGAGAAGTGGGACATTAATATTGGCAAAGCCCACATATTTTTTGTTAAGTACAAATAAGCAAAATGCAATTGGGTTTGAAAGTCAACGTGCTGTATCTTTTATGACAGGAAAGGCAAATAGGTTTAAATGTCCTGTGCTCTCTGATGAACCAGAAGCAACTGCCTGGAGCTTTGTGTTGATGTGACCTTAGGTTTGGTAGGAGCACAGGGAGTAGGGCTGTGACTGCTGGGGGGCCTGGTTAACTCTGCCCCATGCAGTGTGACCCAGCCTGTTGCTTCCCAAGTCCAAAATGTTCTTTTTGGTTCACATAACTCCTCTTAGCCAAAGGCAGATTTAGTTTATAAGCCTCAAAGAGGGAAAGTGGGAGACTATTTCCCAAAATAAGAACAAATTTATGGGCTTTTCAAGACATCAAAGCAAGCGGACACAGATAATGCAGATAATACTGGAAGTAAAGGCACTGAAGACTAACTTATTTGCCTCTTTGCAGATTAGGTTGTGTTCTCAGGCCATTTGGATTGGTCCGTAGAGATACAGAAGTTATAGTACAGTTTATTAGCTAGAAATGAATTTCAACAGCCCCAACTGGGTCTGAATGAGGCAAATTTAGGCCCAAATCATTAGGTATTTCACAACTTAGCACCCAAAATTTAACATAAATTTACAAAAATAAGGCTTAAGTCATCTGGAGAAACTGTTTACAGATATCTGAACTTTATTTAGCTCTCTCTAGAATTAACATCTTTGCAAATATATTATTCAACCAAGCATTCGCCATAAAGATAAGCATCAGCCTTCCCATTGGACAAGTGATAGTGTTCAATGAAAAACAAAAAACTCCCATGACGTCTCAACAAATAAATTTTAAAATGAAATGTGCTCAGATGGATAAACAAGATATCAAAATGGAGACTGACACTGAACTACATATTCAACCTGAAACACACATTCAAACAATGCTTCTGTCAAATGACATATTATTGGCTTTACAAAGATATACTGGTTTAGTTTACAATTATGTTTTATTTTCAAATGATAAAGGAAAGGCTTCATGTTGCTATTTGAAAGTACTTCTCAACCAGCCAGGCATGGTGGCGTGTGCCTGTGGTTCCTGAAGTAGGATCATCCCCTTCAGGTTCCAGGCTACAGTGAGCCATGACTGTGCCACTGCACTATAGCCTTGGTGGCAGAGCAAGACCGTGTCTTTAAAACAAAATGAAAGTACTTCTCTGCAAGTAAAATTTATGAATATAATCTTTATTCCCATTAAATAAATGATAGCCCTAATCAGCTAGTATTTATTATTTTCTATTTAACATTCATTTTTGAAGAGCCAGAGACCTGCCTATGTGGCATAAAGTTTGGACGGATATATGTGAATGCAGTGCTGGTGAAGATCATCTGATTCTTATAACTTTCACATGCCCTATTTGTTATATTTTAACATCACTGCTCATTGTGCTTCCTGTCTTGAATAGATAAAACTATAAGTTGACCAATTAAAAGTTGTTTAGGCTGGACACGGTGGCTCATGCCTGTAATCCCAACACTTTGGGAGTCCGAGTGGGGGGTGGATCACTTTGAAGTCAGGAGTTTGAGACCAGCCTGGTCAACATGGGGAAACCCCGACTCTGCCAAAAATACAAAAATTAGTTGGGTGTGGTGGCGGGCGCCTATAATTCAGCTACTTGGGAAGCTGAGGCAGGAGAACTGCTTGAACCCAGGAGGCAGCAGTTGCAGCAGTGAGCCGAGATCGCACCACTGCACTCCAGCCTGGGTGACAAGAGCAAAACTCAATCTCAAAAAAAAAAAAAAAACTGTTGAAAAACCATCTCAGCAGCTAGCACTATTCAGTCGAGTCATCATCTGGGAGAATGGTGGGTCACTAACCATCATAAACTTGGAGGCCTCCAAATGAAGTGTACTGAAATTGCTTTATTGATGGCTTTTAAAAATAGAAATATTTAAAATAGAAATATGAAACAAATTAGCATCACTATTTTAGTGATTAGAACCCCATGGAACTTTTCGGCCAAACCCTGGAAACTAACCAAAAAACTGAAAATTTACCCTAAGGGAAGAAAAACCTTAAGTCCAAAGACAATTTCTGATTCTACCATTAGGTTCTACAATTCTAATTACTGAAGAAGTAATTTATATTAATATACAGTGTAATGAACGTTATTCTGGAACAGTAATTAAATGGCAATGTTTAGGTATCATGTACGATATTGTATGCCCACAAATCATTTTTCTAAGTCAAATAAGCAAATTATGACAATAATAAAAGATGAATTACTAGACACAAACGAAAATCTGAAACCTTAAAAAAAGTAAAAAATAGAAACAAATAGAAATTAACCTGAGAACACATTAGAGAATAAATTTGAATTATCTGTCCATTTATAAAATATAGTATGCTTTAAAAATAGTCATTTTAGTCATGAGAAGACCCAGTGCTAATATACTGCTTCTTTTAAAAATGATTTTTGAGGCCGGATGCAGTGGCTCATGCCTATAATCCCAGCACTTTGGGAGACCAAGGTGGGTGGATCAGTTGGGGCCAGAAGTTTGAGACAAGACTGGACAACATAGCGAAACCTCATATCTACTAAAAATATAAATATTAGCCAGACATGGTGATGCGCGCCTTAATCTCAGCTACTCGGGAGGCTGAGGCACAAGAATCGCTTGAACTCAGTAGGCATGGGCTGCAGTGAGCTGAGATTGCGCCACTGCATTCCAGCCTGGGTGATGGAACAAGACCTTCTCTCACCAAAAAAAAAAAAAAAGTTGGAGGCTGGGTGCTTTGAGCCACATCTATAATCCAAGCACTTTGGGAGGCCGAAGTAGGAGGATCACTTGAGGCCAGGAGTTCAAGACCAGTCTGGGCAACACAGTGAGACCCTGTCTCTATACAAAATAAAGTGGTGTGGTAGTGGGCACTTGTAGTCCCAGCTACTCAGGAGGCTAAGGTGGAGGACTGCTTGAGCCCAGGAGTTTAAAGCTACAGTGAGCTATCATCATGCCACTGTACTCCATCCTAAGAGTCAAAAATAGTGGACAGAAAACTGACAACGGTCTCAATTGGTTGCACTATACATGGAAGGAAAGTGTTTCTAAAAAGGCTAAATAAGTAAAAAAAAAAAAAAAAAAAAAATTGTGACTTAGAAATTTATTTTTCTAAATTATTTTGAAAGGAAATAATGGAAAACCATATCCAACTGAATGAAGAAACAAGAATATGCATCATACTGGTTCCTTTACAGATCTGAGGTAGCACAGGTCAGCAGGCCAATATAACAGTTCTACAAGGCAACACTGGTTTTGTGGATGTAATGCTAGCATCTAAGATCTAGAAAGACAAAAAAAAATTTGGTATGCAAATTTTCCTTCAATTTCCTCTGCTTTCATATTGGATTGACATTGATTTACATTCACCATCCTTTCACTTTTTGTTCAGGTCTTTCCCAAATCTCTTGGAAGATCCCTTCAAAGTCCCAAATGCAAATTCTTCCTTCAGGTATGCCCCTACACTCAACTGAGCAATTACTCAAGTATAATTTTTTTTAGGTATCAGTAAAGATCCCTCTATCCTCTTAGTGTTTCCTAAAATCTTCCCATACTTGAATCATAATTTCTTAGATATATACATATGATCTCATACAACAGAGAGGCCAAAACCCAGTTCAAACATTCCAGGATTATAACAGTCCATATAATAGAACAGACCCTTTGTTAGGTCAAGATCATTTTACTAGAGTTCCACTTTTAGAGCTCAAATGCTAATCAACATCTACTGTCTCCATACACACTGTTTTCCATCTTTCTTACAATCACAGAACACAGTCCAACAATCAGTACCAACTATCAAAACCTCTGAGAATTACCTACCATTTCTGCTTCCTCTCTTTAAGTATACCATCTCTTGCATTTCTCTAATTTTTAACCTAATAATACTTCTATAACTAGTTGGTCAAGAAAGAGCTACATTATATAATGTTCCATCACTGCATAGAAAGAAACTGTTTGGTAAAGTTATGCCAAGTGTTCATATAAAATTTACTATTAAGTTGGTTCAAAAATAAATTTAAAAAATAAAAATGGTTATTAAAAATCTGTTCTGCTGAAAGAGCCTACAAACTCTCACCCTAGAGAAGTATAAAATTCCATGCAGAGGAGACAGAAATGACAATGAACAGAAATGAACAAAAGCATCAGAAACATGCTAGTAAATGCTAGCTTATACATTCTGCTGTTCATGTATAGATCTTTACCATTCATAAATAATGTAGCTATACAATAAACCTGTATTTCCGCTTCCTACTCATAAGATTTAATACACTCATTTTTTTTACATATTTCCTATCGTCTGAGATGTTTTCTCACTTAATCAATGGTTTTCGAACTTCATTATCAGTGAAACTGTTGCAATGAAATCTCACAGAGAACCCCCGACATATGAAACAGTTAAAAGCAGAACTGCTCTGATATAAAGGGGAAGGGTGCCAGTAGACACAGTTTGAAAATCACTGCTGTAAATTTTTCAAGAAAAGCTGAAGTAAAGATATAGCCATTTGGAAGTTCTTCATTTCCAAGAATTATAAACCCCAATTTCCCCATTGGTTCTCATTTTTAAGAAAGTTCTTTGAGTACAGCTGCTTATACCTCAGCTCAGTGGAATAAAAGCACAGTGTCTTACATGTAGTATTTAAGTACGTACTTAATGGTTTGAATTCTTATTTCCTTTTTTTATACTACTCAAAACTGTAAAATTAATATAAGATGTAACCCCATAACTTTAGATTATTAAAGTGATGTTTGAAAATATTCAACATGTGATAGAAAAATTTTCTAAAAATTATCTTGCTTCATAATTATAATAGCTTTAGTCCAAGTCTAAACACTGTCCAAAAGGCTCTTCAGATTCTCACTCAAAAAAACAATCAAAAAAATCACTCTGTAGTTACTCTAAGAAGTAAGAGTATCTCCTGTGCAATGGTGCTATATTTTAGAATTTTTTTTAAATTCTCATATATATCATCCTATATTTCAAACCTGATTTAGTCCAAGAGGCAAAGAAAAGAAGTTAGGTTAATTTTTACCTTTGTCAAGGCTTAGATTAGAAAGATTTTATAAGGAGTAAAAAATAAAAACTTCTAAAATAAGCTCATTTGTGTTTTTCAGGCTATTTCCTCAATCTATTTTATCAACCTCCTTCCATATAAATGGAAGGCCTTTAAACAGACTTTTTCATAAACGTATATACCTTCTGTAAGCAACTCTGTGCTTAGCTTTAGAAAAGGCACCCCTGTTCTTCTATGCTCTTCACTGGCTGGACTGGCAGTACCAGGTGTGAAATTCGGCTCCACAGCCCACTCAGTTTGTCTGAGTCCATGTGGTTGAAGGAGCGGGGAGTGTCAGAGTTGGTAAACTTGGACCAGAGTAAATCTCTCACTTTTTCTTCAGTTTCCCTTGGGCCCACACTTGCTTCTAATGTTTCCTCCTCTAGCAGAACAGTGAGGACCAGGGCCACATCTTTAAAGGCAGCATTCTCATGATCACAATACTTGTAGAAGATCAAAGTGGAGCCCGCAGGAAAGGATTCGAAGTGGTGGACCACAGCAGCCTTCTGGCCATTCTCAAACCCAGAGCTTAGCTCCAAGTCAACCAACAGCTTGACCGTATCACTGTCCTGCCAGGTTCTTCCGGCCCCATCAATCTGAATGGGAGAGACTTTCTGGGAAGAGGTGTAAGCATCAGCAACATGGTGGCTCAGGCACTTCAGGGTCTCTCTTCCCTCCCGAGCTGCTGTAAATATGATGGTGGCTGGCTCAGTAGGGTTGGAAGCATTGAGGTGCTTCTGGAGAAACTTCCGTCCTCTCTGCCACAGGAAGGAACTCTGACCTGGAAATTTATCTTTCAATTGGCTAAACTGGGCCAAAAAGGCTTCCAAAGCTGGATTTTTGGGCACTTGCCGAGCTGGAGAGGAATAGTAGCTATTCACAGAAGTTAGCACAAGAGCCCCAAACAGGAGGCCAAGAAAGACAGCGCCTGTCAAAAGAATGAGAAAAGAACGGAAAATTATAGAGAACACAAGTCAGAAACAAAGCCTGTGGTCAACTGAAGTGAGGCAGAGATACCATCAGGTTTCACTAGGCAATACGTTTCTTTTGCATAAATTGTTTGAACTTTCACTCTACCAGAGGTACCTTTTCTCTAATCCCTTCTCAGATTTAATTATTTGAAGATATAATATCTTTGTTAAAAGATAAAAGCTTCATCAGTAAAAAATTTTTAAAAATAAAGGTAAAAGCTGAGTCTATGTATAACTAATGATGTAATTTAGACATGAGTGATCAAGGTTTTCTTCTACCTTCTCAAGGAACCTATACCTATAGCCAACCATTTTTTTTAGGAGTCATAACTTTAAAATGACTAGTTAGAAAGGCAGTTTTTGTTTCTTGTTTAGGAAAAACTTTTCCTACTGTGGGAATTTCCATTTTGTTAAGCATACCAAAATATCAGCCAGTACCCTTAAGGGAAAAATCCCTAAAACTCTATTGTTCTATTTTACTATGACTTACTACCAATCATTAAATAAGTATATATAAACACAATGTTAAAACTGTTTAAATCTGCTAGTTTTCTAAGCATTTTCTGAATGGGAATCAACACTGCAGGTTTGTTCTTACCATAATTCCAAATACTCTTTTCATTAGTCTTTCTCATGGTGTCCCGTGTATTCTCTTTAATTTCTTCCGATTTTTGTGTTTGTTGTGGATGACTTCCAGCCTCTGGAGAAGGGGGAGAGGAATCAATATTATTTTTAGGCAGTAAACTAATGACAGTATGTATACTTTTGTAACTCTCACCAAACAAAAGAATGATTTGACTAAAAAGATTTATATACCTTGGCCAGGCACGGTGGCTCACGCCTGTAATGCCAGCAGTTTGGGAGTCCGAGGTGGGTGGATCACTTGGGATCAGGAGTTTGAGACCAGCCTGGCCAACAAGGTAAAACCCTGTCTCTACCAAAAATACAAAAATTATCCGGGAATGGTGCCAGGCACCTGTAATCCCAGCTACTCAGGAGGCTGAGGCAGGAGAATCGCTTGAATCTGGGAGATGGAGGTTGCAGTGAGCAGAGATCACACCATTGCACTCCGGCCTGGGGGACAGAGCGAGACTCCATCTCAAAAAAGAAAAACCAAAAAAACAAAAACCCAAAGTGAACACTTTTCCTGTCTTTTCTTTAAGACTATTACTTTTATTCTAATTAGAAGAATAAAATGAAATGCTGTGAAATTCATTCAAGGATAATGCTATAGTCACAATTCCTCACTGCCTCTTACATCAAAGACAAAGAAAAAGACACTTAAATACTGTGGCCAAACTTACTTAAAACGTGATTCAACAAAATGTATAAAATTAAGAAGGGATTTAAGAAACATTGGCTGTACACAAGATTCAACATCACAGGGTAATTGTGCTCTAATTCCAGTATTCGAGTTTTACATGGTTCCTCAAGACCCCGAATGTAAAAATAACAGAGACACTAAATTCCGAGATAGGAGATATTACTGTACAGTTGCAAAACAGCTTACAAAGCAAATTTGAAACTCTTAGTGAAGGAGATATACAAAGCAAGGAATAGAAGGTGAAGAAAATTCATGAAATACGTAAAAACCCAGGCGTAGGGTAGGCAAACCAAGCCTAAAACATCTGGGTGAAAAGAAGGGCAACGCTTTACAGCACTCTAAGCTAAATCACACTAGAATTGAAATTTGTGCTTAACCCCGGCCAGGTACTTCTATTAGCACAGATGAGTAGGATCCTCTTCAATTATAAAGGATTGTTCATATCACCCCGAAAAGTAGGTTCTTAAAATATCATATCATGGAATTTAAGAACTGAAAGGATCTATAATGGATACCTACACCAGCCCCACTACTTAACCTACCTGGAGAAAAGGTCCAGGTTTTATATATATAAACTATTAAGTTGCTTTCCATCCATAAACTGCATTTCTTTTTTTAAAGACAGGGTCTCACTCTGTCAACAAGGCTGGAGTGCAGTGGCAAAGTTTTGGCTCACCACAGCTTTGACCTCCCAGGGTCAAGCAATCCTCCCACCTCAGCCTCCTGAGAACTACAAGTGTACACAGCTCCTTCTGTATTTTTTGTAAAGATGGGTTTTTGCCATGTTGCCCAGGCTGGTCTTGAACTCCTGGCCTCAAGTGATCCACCCATCTTGGCCTCCCAAAGTGCTGGGATCACAGGAGTGAGCCACTCTGTTTGGCCTAAACTGGATTTATTTTTTTTTTAAGATGGAGTCTTGCTCTGTTGTCAGTCTGGAGTGAAGTGGCACGATCTTGGCTCACCGCAGCCTCCACCCCCAGATTCAAGCGTTTCTCCTGCCTCAGCCTTTCGAGTAGCTGGGACTACAGGCGTGTACTACCACGCCCAGTTAATTTTTATATTTTTAGTAGAGATGGGGTTTCACCATGTTGGCCAGGATGGTCTCAATCTCTTGACCTTGTGATCTACCCACCTCAGCCTCCCAAAGTGCTGGGATTACAGGTGTGAGCCACCACACCTGGCCTAAACTGGATATTTTAAACAATATTTTTTCACCAGGCGCAGTGGCTCATGACTGTAATCTCGACACTTTAAGAGGCTGAGGCTGGCAGATCACGAGGTCATAAGTTCAAGACCAGCCTGACCAACATGATGAAACCCCGCCTCTACTAAAAATATACAAAAATATTAACTGGGCGTGGTGGCACACGCCTATAATCCCAGCTACTCAGGAGGCTCAGGCAGGAGAATCACTTGAACTTAGGAAGCAGAGGTTGCAGTGAGCAGAGATCATGCCACTGTACTCCAGCCTGGGCAACAGAGTGAGACTCCAGCTAAAAAAAACAAAAAACAAAACATTATTTTTTCTACTTACAGTGAACCTGCCTAACAGTGAATTCTTTTTTAAAGAGATGGGGTCTCACTACATGGCCCAGGCACTTTAGCTAGAACGCAGAGGTCATTCACAAGGGTGGTCATTGCACACGGCAGGCTCGAACTCCTGGGCTCAAGCAGTCCTCCCACCTCAACATCCCAAGTGACTGGGACTAGAGGCATATGCAATTGCACCTGGCGCATACACAACTGCACTGGCAAATGGGCATTTCAGACTGAGCTCTTCCAAGTGCTTATAAAATACAAATCCACATAGACAATCACAGAAGGTGAGAGCTTCTCGTCTAACTTCTTTGTTTTACAAATGGGAAATTGAAGCACCAGGAAGTGAAGACACTTTCCAAAGGTCACCCAAGTTAGCAAGTGATAGGGCCACAACTAGAATTTACACCTCTTGAGTTCCATTTAAGGATTTAGCACACTGCAATGCTTACCTTCATAAGGGAAGACATGCTTGTTCCTCTTAGCATATAGGCAGACAAAATCAGGTATAGAGAAACTAACTGACTTAAAGTCCTATAAAACTGAATCGTGACTGAGTTAAGGATACTGTCCAATTAATGCTCATTTTCAAATATACCCATCTCTTGATTGATGTAACATTTAGTTCCCCAAAAAGTAAGATTTCAAAAATTGTACGTCAAAATATTCTCATAAGAAATAAAAAGCCAAAAGCAAATTTTTTAAAAGTCATGTCCCTTTTTGTCATATCACATTAACAGTTAAAAAAAACCTTGCTTAGAAATGCAGTTTATGTGTAGGAAGCAACTTAATATAATGGAATAAGCTAGCCATTAGCTTAGATGAGAAACCTCATTCCAAAATCCACTCAGTCGTATGGTTTTGTGCAAGCGTGGGCAGGGCTCCAAGGCCTGAATCCTACGAAAGATAGACAAAAGTTCTCTGGAAAGAAGGCCTCTGACTTCTGATGTGTTCTCAGTCAACAGAGCCATACAAAATAGGAGAGTAGTTCAGAGGGTTCTCTTACCCGGGACCAGCAGTCGCCGCCTCAGTGTATCCTCGCCCTCTTGCCCTGCACTGGAATGACCAGGACCCTCGGCCTCCTGGGAGCCTGCAGCAGGAGGTTCCTGAGGTGCTCCCATTCCGTCAATCACTTCCGTGGGGAGGGCTGCCGAGCTGCTCCCTAAGTGTTCGTCTGCTCGTCCTAACTTGTCACTTGGAGAATGGCTGGGATCTGGATCCAGGGGTTCTTCACTCAGACTTTCTGAAGGGAGGTGATGCCCTTTTTCACCCTCCAGAAAACTCTGGTTGTTCTCATGCTCTATTTGATCCTTTGGATGTTTCCCCACATTTGCTTCATCTGGACTTTCTGATTTATCACCTGTAACTACATTTTCTGGACCTATTGTCTCTACCTCTTGGTGGCCTTTGCTAAGACCAGCGGCAGAGTGTAGGGTCTGAGCTTCTTCAGCAGTACTTGTTATGATTGTGGTCTCTTGTGCCTGAGAATTTATTGATGGATCATTTTCCAAATCCTTTTGAGAGTCTATTGAGATAAAAATTTATAATTCTTATTGGAAAAAATTCCCCATAAATTTATATTTTAACAGTGTCTCTGTTTAATAATAATATTTATATAGATTTTCATGGTTTACAAGACACTCTTCCTAAACATTATTTCTGTTGGCTCCCACTAAAGGTGATTTAAACAACAACAAAAACTTAACATGTCAATAAATCTAAAATAACACTAATACAAAACAATTTGTATGACCAACAGATTGTCAGAACCAACTTTTGGTTATATTAAACATATCTTCTTCCCTAATGAAAGGCAGTGCTCATCAATGGTAGCTGAAACCTTATGCAAAGGCTGATGGGAACTTTTATAGTGGATGAGCCAGACTGACAACTGCTGAACCCAGTGACCAATCATCATGAAAACAGGGAAACCCAAGCAGACATCATTTACCTCCTAATATAACGCAGGAGGAAGTACTCTAGACCACCTAGAAGTATTCTTGCCAAACAAGTGAACTGAAATCTGATCAAGCTTCTAGACCTACCAGTTTCCAAGAAATATAGGGATAGAGGAATATATTAAATTATGCCTCAAGAATATAATCAGCAAAATGCAGGATGGGAGAAATTCCAAAAGACGTTTCTTTAATAACAGTAAGAAATTAAAATAAATGGCAAGAAAAGGGGAAAAAAGGAGTCTCTTAACTTACTGATCAAGAAACTTAAGAGACCATCAACCAAATACAATATGTGAACCACAATGTCTAGATCCAGTTTCGAATAAGCCAATCATTAAAGAAATATTTATGACACAATCGGCAATATCTAAATGCCAGATATTTGATGACACCAAGGAATTATAATTCATCATTTTAGGTGTGATAAAGGTATTGTAATTACATTTTTTACGAAGAATCATCATCGGCCGGATGCAGTGGCTCACACCCATAATAACAGCACTTTACGAGGCTGAGGTGGGCAGATCATGAGGTCAGGAGTTCGAGACCAGCCTGGCCAATGTGGTAAAACCCTGTCTCTACTAATAATACAAAAATTAGACGGGAGTGGTGGCGCATGCCTGTAGTCCCAGCTACTCAGGAGGCTGAGGGCTTAAACCTGGGAGGCAGAGGTTGTAGTGAGCTGAGATTCCACCATTGCACTCCAGCCTGGATGACAGAAAGAAAAAAAACGAAGAAAATCCCTTCTAAAAATAGCACATCACGGGATGTATATAACTCTAAAGATTTGTTTACCATCATTTTTTAAAGAAGCATTGTATTTTTCCATTGCTATAAGTCCCTACTATTGGAGTCTCTAAAACATTTATCTTCCTTATAATTAGGGTCTCACATTACGGTGAAGTTCAGTAAATCTGAAAGAATAAGTATAATCAAAGCAAATGAATCCATTGAATTAGCTTTTTTACTTTAAAACTTCAGATTTCAGTCATCAGAGATTTTCTCTCTCTGTAGATCCTGGTTTCCTACAGCAGCACCCTCAGGGCTGGACAAATCAGTCTTACCCTCTTGAGGCTCCCTAAGTCCACTGTCGGCCATGTTTGTGTTCTCTCTCTCCAGAGTTGGGGGGATACTTTTTTTAGTGCTTGGTTTTCCTTGTGAAGATGTCTTGTTTTCTTCTTGTCCCAAGTCCCAACAGACTCATGCTTCCCGTGGACCCAGGAAATAAGGCATATATACAGTGACTAAAACAAAATGAAAAAAATTAAATGACTTTTTATCAATACAAAGGAGAAATGCAAATATCAGCTTTATTTATTAAATATGTTTAGTTTGAGTAACTTTTCCTCTCTGAAACTTTTTTTGTGAAGAAAAGTTCCTTTCATGAGAATCACACTCCAAATCCTAGACTATTAAAAAAAGCTCCAGATTATTAATCTTTCATCAATGTCATAATCTCCTAATACATTCCACCACATATTGAAAGAGTATAAAAAGTAAGACCAAGTGACCAGAATCTTCAAGAGAATAGCTTGAATTAAAATAAAAAATAAATCTAAGAGTAGAAATTTAAGTCACTGCTGAAACAATCACTGCAGATTTCCTGGAGGCCTTCAATTTGTGTCCCAGATACTTTTCTCATAGTCTGCCTATCAGAAAGTTTCACTTATATTAAAAAGTAACAACACAGGAAGTTCCCACAAACTGAGGCAGCTGCTTTGAGGTACTGCTACACATTCGGACTGACTTTGGTTTCTTGAAGTATTCTTTTGTAAAACATGGAGAGAGTATCCCTTCATAGAATGCCTTTTCATGCAATGCTCAAAGACAGATAAAGAAAATTATTAAGTTTTATATAAAAGGAATCAAAATCATTTTATAAGTAATAAAACAATATTTTATAGTTAATTCTTGTTTTTTGTCAAAAACAAATTGATCGGTAAAGTTACTTAACATTCATTGCCTATAAAAATGAGAGTAATGATATCTATGAGGCTTAAATAGAAAAATATTTATGAAAAAGCTGTGAAGTGTGAAGAGTTTTTTGACAGCCTAGTTGGAAGGCTAGCCAACTGGCTGTCTTTGTGTTTTACTCAGCACTCTTTTGTAAAATTTAATTTTACAGATTAAACACTTCAATCCCCAATGCCTATAAGGTGCCTAATATATAATAAGAACTCCATATTTTAACTTAAAAGCGTGTGGGAAAAAAATGAATGTATAAATAAAGAGTGATGCCATAGATAAACTGGAAGGAAAGACAAGAGTTAGGGACAGACCCTTCTTTCTACCGGTGTAAACACTTAGTAAAGTGTCTCAGATTCGGAGGGTTCCTTGTCACCTCTTTTATGTTCTTCAAGCTCTCGGGATTGAGCTTTCAAGCCATCATATGTTGCAGTGAAGGTTTCCCTCCTATCCTAGCTCATGATAGAAAAGAAAAAGTCCCCAGTACTTTTCAAGTTTTGTTAAAAAATTTTTCCCTGCCAGCCAAAACCAAGAAAATAGGTCAAGTTTCCTATGTACAAGTAACAAAAATTATCAAAAGCAAAGATGCTACTCACAATAACCATAAGGAATCTGAAATAAAAACTAAAAGATATCTGGTAATAAATCTAACAAGAGATATGCAAGATCTTTAGACAGTGGTGAATTTTATGGTTTGTAAATTATACCTCAATAAAGCTGTTTCTTTAAAACACAACTTTAGAGAGAAAAATATAAAACTTCATTGAAGTATATAAAGAGATAACGGAAAAATATATCACACATAGACAATAAGACTCAAAACCATTGATGCCAATTTTCTCCAAATTAATCTACAAAAGTATGCAATTTGAAACAAAATCTCAAGTTTTTTTCTATTATTACTGTTGGTTTCTGGTAAAATGGAAAAGCTGATCCTAAAATTCACAAAGAGCAGCAAAGGATCAAGAAGAGTCAGCATAATTCTGAAGAAGTGGGGTGATCTTTACCAGCTATCAAAACTTCTTTAAACCTAAAGTAGGCTGGGCACAGTGGCTCACACAGCAATTAAAATGAATTAGATTATCTTTAAAAGTTGTAAAATTACAGCACTGAAGCACTTACGACCAGGCACAGTGGCTCACACCTATAATACCAGCACTTTGACAGGCCAAGGCAGACAGATGGGTGGAGCTTAGGAGTTCAAGGCAAGCCTTTGCCAGGCATAGTGGCTCACGCCTGTAATGCCAACACTTTGGGCGGCCAAGGTGGGCAGATCACGAGGTCAGGAGATCAAGACCACCCTGACCAACACAGTGAAACCCCATCTCTTCTAAAAATATTAAAAAATTAGCCGGGCATGGTGGCGTGCGCCTGTAGTCCCAGCTACTCAAGAGGGTGAGGCAGAAGAATTGCTTGAACCCGGGAGGCAGAGGTTGCAGTGAGCCAAGATCATCCCAGCCTGGGCAACAGAGTGAGACTCCATCTCAAAAACAACAACAACAAAAAAAAACCCAGCCTGGACAACATGGTGACAGCCTGTCTCTATGAAACAATATACAGAAACTAGCCAGGTGTGGTGGTGCATACCTGTAGTCCCAGCTGCTGAGGTAGGAGGATCACTTGAGCCCTGGAGGCAGAGGTTGCAGTGAGCCAAGATTGCGCCATTGCAAGCCAGCTTGGGCTACAGAGCAAAACTCTGTCTCAAAAAAAAAAAGTGTTTCACATCTTTACTGAGGTGGTGGTTCCCTTTGTTATCAAACTTAAAATTGTATGTGACATAGATTATCCTCAATAAACTTTATTGCAAACAGAGCTGAAGACTTTCAAAAATATATTACTTGGTAACTAGGTTGCAATCCAAAAGAATCTGCAAAGGCACCACCACAGGTATTTCTATAATCTTATAAATGCTTGACATACACCATTCCTGTCACAAAGCACACACAGACCCTATAGCCCACTTTATTCAGACCTTTTGTAACGTATCATCACTGTTCAGTGTTGAGATAGCATTCCCTCACAGCGCAAGTGGGACAAACAAGAAGTTCTTGACAAATCCTCAGAAAAGGTCACATGGCAGGGTATCTGAGAGATCTGGAGGCCACTGTTCCAGTGGCAGGTCAATCTTTTTTTTTTTTTTCCCGAGACAACACCTCAGCCTTCATAGCTGGGACTACAGCTAATTTCTGTTATTTTTCGCATAGACAGGGTCTCACCATGTGGCCAAGCTGGTTTCCAACTCCTGGCCTCCAATGATCACCCACCTTAGCCTCACAAAATGCTGGGATTACAGGCGTGAGCCACTGCACCCAGCCAGGCAGGTCAATCTTTTGAATGGTATCTGACCCCTATCAGGGTATGTGTTCATTAGGAACCTCTGGACTGCACAATGGAAGTGAGGCAGAGCCTCATCCTGATGGAAAATGGGGTAGTTGGAGACTTGCTCTAGCTGTAGGGAAAACCCCTCCATAAGTAAGCTGAAAAATAGATACTTTTGATAGTATCTTCTACAACAAGGAACTGATGAGACCTGCGTGCTTCATACGGCAATGAAAGACATTTACTCTGAGTGAATCCCTTGCAAGTTCAATTGTGACATGTTGGTGTTCAGTGCTGTATACATGGAGGTGATAATTTTCATATTTCTACTTAAATAAAATGTAGCCTCATCACTGACAGTCATTTCCACTTCCCTGTGACCCTGAAATCTGCAGCAAAACCGGCATCATTTTGCTTTGTCCTCATCAGGGCTTGTAACAGGTTAAGGCTGTAAGGTTTTGTTCTCCATTTATGAAGAACCTACTAGATGGTCGGCTGAGGGATGCCTTGCTTAATTTCTATCTCCTGGGACTTCTCTAGGAGGGACACAGATTTGCCTCACTGCTGCTCCTGTCAATGTGGCTACCCTGTGCTCTGTCTTTTACGATGTGTCCTTTTCTGCTTCATCTCACTGTAAAACGGTAAACGCTTTGACTACGCGTAGGTGCCATTGTGTGGTACACCAAAGGACTTCTGCACTGAAGTTGCATAACCAGGTCTAGAAGATTCCAACATACAAAATTAAGTGCCATAAGGCTAACTACAATTCAATACCTATTACATGTTTATAAATAAATTTGGGCCAGGCCTGGTGGCTCGTGTATGGAAGCCAGGATGTTACAATTCTGCTATGAAAGCATACACAACAACTATAAAAGCTACTATTTATTGAGTGCCTTCTTCGTGTCAGGCAGCATTCAAAGCTGTTTATGGATTAACTCATCTAATCTTCCAACACTTTAGGAGGCCAAGGCAGGAGGATTGCTTGAGTCCAGAAGTTCAGGATCAGCCTGGGCAACATAATGAGACGATGTCTCTACAAAAAAATTTTAAAAGTAGCCAGTTATGGTATCACATGCCTGCAATCCCAGCTACTCAGGAGGCTAAGGAGGACCATCCCTTGAGCCCAGGAGTTCAAGGCTGTAGGGAGCTAAGATCACGCCAGTGCAATCCAGCCTGAATGACCCTATCTCAGAAGAAAAAACAAACAAAATATATATGTGTACATACATATATATGTGTGTGTAATGTATATATATTTAATACTAATGAAGGTTTGAAAGCATTCCATTTTTTTTGTTACTCTGTACATTATTTACATATATAATTTATAACAAAAAATAAATACATAAATGGAAAGGATACACATCGACTTCCATTTAGTGCTTGCTTCTGCAAGGAATACAAGAGGGTGTCAACTGTACACATAAAGTTTCCTTAAAAAAAAACATTTTTTTCTCTATTCATAGAAAAACATTCAAAAAATATAAAAATAACAACTGAAATAAATGTGGTAAAATGTTCATGTATTTTAGATCTGGGCACAGGTCTTGTTATATTATTCTCTGTACTTTTCTATATGTTTGATGTAGTTACTGTCTTTTTAAATGAGTAATAAATTAGTCTCTGTAAGAAAAAATTAAGTATCAAAAGGCAAGGCCTGTAATGGAAACTCTTTGAGCCTACATGCAATGACCTTGTATTACAGAGGTACGCTTTCACCATGGCCTCCTAGACGTTCTGTCACAAACAGCTGGGAGGGGACAGGACATGGAAAAACTGCCTCTGAGAACAAAATCAGAGCTGGGAGAGCAAAAGGACCTTACCCATCCTCCAACTCCATCCTGCAAACTGCTAGCGTTGCCATGGGGACCAGTGAAAAAGAGGGGAGGGGATGGAGACCTGGGAAAAACCTGGGGAGGGGCGAGGGGGATAAGTATCAGGAAGCACTAAGACCATT